ACCCTGCATGTAGCTATATCGAGTACTGGCTGAGTATAGACGAAGGTGTATCCTTCAGTACTGTGCGAGCTTGTCAGTGTACGTACGAACTCTTCACCACGTCATACAACCACCTATCATACAGGACTTCTGGCTACAAGTGCTATTGAAGCCATGTGCGTAAGACCACATAGCAGAGGTAGTCACACAACCACTCATTGTCACAAATACACTCTCATAGTTAAACATGCACTCTCCTAGTCACACATACACTCTCATTGTCACACATACACTCTCATAGTTAAACATGCTCTCTCCTAGTCACACATACACTCTCTTAGTCACACATACACCCTCATAGTCACACATACATACATGAACTCTTCTGTCGAGATCTTGCCATTGTGGTCCGTGTCCAGCCTTTCGTATCTGCGTTTGAGACGCTTTAATTCGACGGCACTGACTGCGATCGACAAATAAGACAATAATCGTATGAGCAAATAGGACAATGGTCGTATGAGCAGATAGGGCAATGGTCGTATGAGCAAATAGGACAATGGTCGTATGAGTAGATATGTAACGCAGCACGTCCATAGGATCACAAAGCCCAGAAACACAGGGATTAAAGATTAAGAGGTAAGGCAAGTAATGGGTCTAGGACTCTAGAGGGGGACATATGACTCAGGAACCACCTAGCACCCTTTTTATAGCTAGCTCATTGTAGATATATGCTGTTAAGTGGGGGGTGGGGGGTAGTCCTCTGATCAAGTGGAAAACATTCACCCAATAAGAAAACATACACACACACACACACACACGAAGACATAGACACGCACAGACACAGACACGGACACACATGAGCTACAAGGATATGAAATGGTACCACGTGGTGAAGGCTGGACCAAAGAGATTCAGGCACGAGTACGTGAGAGCACACAACCACCGCAGCCCCGCCAGAAAAACTCAGATAACACGCACACACACCTGCAACAGCGGGGAGAAGGCACAGACGAGCGGCAAACACTCCTTGGGTTACAGCAGCCCTACACTGGTGGCACCAACACGAGCGCAAACTTATGACTACCCGCAGAAGGACTCAGTCACCACCACCACAACAACAGTCACTCGAATACGAATGGTCGGACACAGAGCAACTGAATCAGTCACCACCACCACAACAACAGTCACTCGGATATGAATGACCGGACACGGAGCAGCTGAAGTGTCTGATGAGTACGGAATGATACACCACACTCCGAAATGCATGGAAGTCTCGGCACAGGGCTGACAACAAACACACACGCACTCACGGAAAACCCTAAAGACTCTAAAGCCAATCTACAAACATAAACAAGCATATACACGCATACACCTATACTCACAGACGACATGAGTAAACTTGGGAGTGGAGTCACTTTATGAATAGATTTTGAGTAATTACTATAGAACCTATAATATTCCGTCTACATACTTTTCAAGATAGGACAGAGTTTTTTTCCTTTACGCTCCATTATGTATTCTTAACTCATTTACCATCAGAGAAACACACACGCACAAACACACACGCGCGCGCGCGCACATACATACATACACAGACATAGACACAGAAATATACATACATTGTGATTCCTTCTGTAGAGTATCTACATCAAACCCGTGGGACTTGGCGATCTGAGAGTCGACATTCCCCATTCTGTGAGTAGAGGGACGATGATTCAGCAGGCGTTAACAACCGAACACATCTTCATAACTGATAGTAGAGATAGCTCAATTTAATGGAGTTGAAGCCTTCAAAGGGGTAGGCGATAGACCAAGTGTATGTTAACAAGGATCAACTACACACCTTGGACTGCGAAAGATTTTCATAGTAACTATCTCGAAAATTTTAAGTAGGGTTATAGACATAGACATATGTACGCAAATATAGATATTTTACATGTGTACTACAATAGGCTCTGTACATAATATAGGTAATATATATGCAACTATAACGTGCATAAATACAATTACACCAGTATGATGAAACTAATTTACTCCCACTGATACAAATAACAAGCACACACACATATATATATATATATATATACATATAGACATACTCACACACACACACACACATATATATATATATATATATATATATACATATATATTTCCAAGTCGAATCAAATAGTGTAATTAACTGAAAAATTTAAATACCACAAGATATCACATATTCCCACTTGTAACCATTAGCATACAAAATTTAACGGTACCTCGACAATGTAGATATAAAACAATACGAAAAATATACACACATATATATAAATGTTCCTACACATATAAATACACATACATATACATATAAAGACACATACAACATTATATAGATATAGATATAAATATATTGAGAAATATGCGTTAAAATATAAATGTACATGTATACACATGTATATAAATACATAAAAACATACATACATACATACATACACATAAACACACACATATATAT